TGTTGTTAATTTTGATACGAAAAGAAAAAAATTGTTCAAGAAAAAGTATCCAATTGGGTTGGACTTTGGATTTTGTTCTAATCGATTGTTTGAATGGAATATATCGGATGACAAACAAATGAATCGACATTTTGTTTTTATTACAGGTAAGTAGAAGAGATTGTCTCTCAAATTTTTGATCTATGAACTTTCTTGATGACTTTTTTTGTTTGTTTTTTTTCTTCTTTTTTTTTTTTAAACAGAAGATGAGAGCCTCTGACGGTATCCCGAAGGCAGTGGCGCGAGTAAACCAATAACGCGTCCGCCACGCCGGCTGCCAGATTCAAATCCAGGGAGGACCGAAACGGTATTCGACGAGGAAACGGATAGCATAGACTCCGCAGGACATTTCGAATCCATCTCCGCGTCCTGCTGGCTTTTCGGGTTTGTCACGCCATTGCTTCGATTCGATCTTTCTCTCTCTCTCTCTCTCTCTCTCTCTCTCTTCAAACTTGTGTAGAACTGTGCGAATAATCGAACGGAAAGAAGAAAAATAAAAAAAAAAAACAAGAAATATCCTTTTCCTTATCTTTCTTTCCTTTCTTTTTTTTATTTGTTCATTACACAACACCACACATCCATTTTTCGAAAGAAAACAAAAATAAATATATTAACCCCTTAAGGAACACTTTTGACTCAACGTAATACAACGCCGCTTGAGTTAACTCGAGCATGCAACTTAAAGGGTTAATAATAATAATAATAATAATAAATAAATAAACCAAATATTCTATATTAATAAAATAAAATAAAGAAAAAATGGAAAAAGAAAAACACAAGAAAAAAAAAAATGGGAAAATAATAAATTTGTGATTATTCGAAAGATTTGCAAATAAGCGTGGTGGAATTTCGCTATGGTAGACGAGCTCGAGACGATATTCTTCCCATTCTACTACGCGTATCCAATTTGATGGCATTACAATAACGGGGGTAATGTCTGAGAATAATGAAATTTCCTCCAATCACCGCGATTCGCTTGGAATACGTTCGTTCCTCCGTGTACCCCCTTTCTCTCTTTCTTTTCCTATTTCAGTCTCTCCCTCACCTTCTTTCTTATTTGAAGGTAAACCTTCGACTATGACGACGTCTACGTTGGAAAGTAAAGACACAGACAGGTATAACGTCGATTGGGGGAGGGAAGGGGGAGGGGATGGAGATTGGGGGTGGAAATGGGGGTGAGAAGAATACGGGAGAAACGTTTTCGAATCAATCCCGTCACCGAGTTATTTCGTTCCTCATCAAAGCTTTAAGAAAATTCTTATTTTTTGTATCGAAAAGAAATTTAAATGATTCTTCTTCTTATATATATTATTATTATTATTTATTCCTTTTTTTACAATAATTTATTTATTCCCAATGAAAAAGAAATGTTTTTTACGAGTAACTAATCTTTTTTTCTATGAAGAACAAAATTTCTAGTAGAAACGTACACATTATTGTTATTATTATAAAATTATTTTGTTATTTATATATATATATATATATGCTATTATACGATATTTATTTATTTGGTATAATATATATTTTTTTTAATAGAAAAAAAAAGAGATTTCTTAACACTTTCCTTGCCAAACCCTTTTTTACCTGACTTGTCATTCAGGCCACTTAATTTTGCTTTAATTAAATCAACCATTACACATGTAATTATTAATTATTATAAATGTAACAACATTAAACAAACTTATGTGCTTTGTTCTATACTGCATTTTGTATAATGCATCAATATTTTAATAGAAATATTCTTTTACAGAATTAAATTTGTTATAAATACATATATTTACACAGCGCATTAAATAAATATGTCTAATGGTAAGTGTACCACCAGTGGTACACGTGGCCTGAAGAACAAGTTTAACGTGTACCACCGGTGGTACATGTGGTACGGAACGTGTTAAAAATACAATGGACATTTTGATAAACTAGAATAAAATATTATATTCAATTTTTCTTCTTCTTTTATTTTGTTTTTCCTAGTTTCACGAATTCACATCTTGAACATTTCTCAGACAATTGCTATATATATATATATTTATACTATATATAACTAGAGAACACGGTGGTGCAATAATTCTCGAGCGAACTGTACGTAATGGAATATTACACGGGCCATTAAAGAAACGTTAATCTTGCCCACAACAAGTTCAGAAGCGCTCGCAGGATGCTCAAACGCGGGTACGGGGATTATACGGTGTACACCGTTGGCTTTGATCCTCTACCGGCCTCCGGGGCCTCCGGCACCCGTATAATTTGTTAAAACGCGAAACTCTCCGAGTATCTCTCTCTCTTTTTCTCTCTTTCTACTCCTCCACTCCTTCTCTTCCTTCTCATCCTCGTCCTCGTCCTTTAATTCCTTCTTCTTCTTCTTATTCTTCAAGGATCGTACCGTACCCGGAATTATATCGTGTTTCGTATTTTTTTTTTTTTTTTCATATATTTATGATATGTGAATTAAAAGAACGCCTTATCTTGAAAAAAATGTGTCAAATCTTTCAATAATAAAATAAGGATATTGAAAATTAATCCTTTAAATCGTTGTGTATATAGATCCGCTTACTTTCTCATAAAAATGGGGGTTGAATAGGTGGAAAGAAGAATTGTGGATGAAAATATAAAGAGTGGGGGAAGAGGGTCGAAGATTATCGGTAGATTAATTCGCAAAATTTAATAGGAAATACGTTTAGGATGATAACTTGGACGTCTACAAAGGGTATTGTGTGAAGGATGAATTTCTTTCTTTTTCTCTCTCTTTCTCTCTCTCTTTCTTTCTCTCTCTCTCTCTCTGTCAAACCTTTGACATTTTTTTTTCTCTCACGTCGATAAGAATGCCGTTCTTTCTTTCTGTTGGAGGAAAAAAAAGCGGTGGGTGGGCGAGCGTACACCTCGAAGCCATTACGAAGGCGTGAGTGAGAAGGATAAAGTAAAATAAGGGTAGGAAGGAAGGAAGGAAGGAAGGAAGGAAGAAAAGTAAAAGAAGAAAGAGAGAGAGAGAGAGAGAGAAAAAAAAGAGAAAGAAGAGGAAAGGAGAATTTAGCGACCCTCTTTTGCTTTTTACCCCTAAGCAAGTCGAGAGCCCCTTAGCCACCGTTTATTGGACGCATGCAAATATCCATGGCAACCAGCTACGTCGAGGAGTACCACCATGAAGAGAAAGAGAAAATGAGAGAGAGAGAGAGTGAGAAAGGAACGAAGAACAACCCTCCCCCTCTCCTCCCTCATTCTCTCGTGAACTCTGACGCGATGGGGAGAAGAAAGAGTAAGATTTCGAGATTGCAAGGGCAAAAAAAAAGAGGAGTGGAAGAAGAAGAAGAAGAAGAAGAAGAAGAAGAAGATGAAGAAGAAGAGGAAGAGAAAGTAAAAAAAAAAAAAAAGGAGACGTCAAAGAATCTTCTTTTTGATCCATGCGTCGCGTATTTCCCTTCTCCTTTTCGAGCAATCTCTTAATTGATTCTCTTGTTCTTGAAAAACGTTTTTCTCTCGTCTTTTCTACTCACGGGAGGTACAAATTTAAATATTTTTAAAAATACCAGTTTGAGAATAAAGATTCCATTAACAATAAGAAATATAACTACGCGAATTTTTGTCTATCTCAAGTGATAATAATTTTTTTTTTTTGTAATGATTTCATCAGAACACAAGGAAAAATTTGTATCGTTCAACGAATACGAGATGAGATGATTATTTGCGAATTTACGAAACATACGAAATATCGAATATGTTTTTTTTGTAAACGATTTCTTATTTAGAGTAAGGAAAACGAGAGAAAGAAAAGTACGATCACACATCTTGATTTAATATTTAATAAAATATTATAGAAAGATAATAATTCGATAATGAACGTACGATTGTGGGAATGAATTATCAAACGAATCAAAATGGGTATTTCTACGAAACAAATATCCAACAGTAGAAAATATATTCAATATCGAACATATTTCCATGATTTCCCATTTCGTTTTATCAAAAGAATAAAAAAAAAGAAAAAGAAATTCCTATCTTTCCTATTTATCTGTGTATCCAGTATCAGCCTAACAGCACAACCTAACAGCAACCATCCAACGTTGAAACCCTCATCCTCTTCTACACGAAAGTCGACTCGTGCTATCTATGTAAATGCGGTCGTGTTTTGTGTGAGTAGACAAAGCCCCCGTTGACAATACGCCTGCGCGTTTATCCCCCTTTCGACCACCCCCTCAATCCTCCTCCTCCTCTTCCTCCTCCTTTTCCTCCCATACCGAAAAGTTGGGCTCCATTACGTGTGTTTTGCGACATGCTTTATGACATCGTCTTTACAACCGTTCTCTCGTTGAGCACGCTCGTACCAGCCCTTTACTGACAACATGCTGAACGCTTTTAAACGCGTTTATGTGCGTACAAGTATCTCGATACTATACGTATAATATATATAGTTTTTGTACTTCTTTTCTTTAGATACTTTTATATGCGAATGTTTAATATTTTAAGTTCAAAGAAATTTATTTCTATTTTAATATATAACACATACATACATACATATATATATATATATAATTTTTAATAACTCGGTTAATTATTAAAATTATTATATATATGTTATATTATGGGATCAATTTTATATAAACTAGAATTATTTATTAATTATCATTTTAAATAAATTTCTTTGACTAATTATCTATATTAAATATTATCTAATATTCAATATTAGAAAACAAATATTCTATAAACAATATCGAGAGAATATTTTTTAAATCCCTAAATTGTATAACCAAAATTAAAATAAATATTTTAATAGAACGATCGAGTATTTGTGATATCGTTCGATATTTAACGAATATTAACGAATTAAATTTATTTATGATTATTATTAACGAATTTATTTATGAATATTATTAACGAATGTAACATGACGTATATGAAGAAAATATCTGCGACGATATAAAATAAAAGATGAATATAATTTGATGGTAATTTATTGAAATACTCACGCTTGGAATGTTGTCATTGGTGCAGACGCCTTCTTGCAATAAACGATCTCTTATTTCCCAAGCAAAAATCGACGGACATTCACTTTTATAAAGTGAAATCTTGTTGACGACTTCCGTCGTGGCCACTCGCGGCTTGCTACCGCCAATGGCCCTTGGCCTTATGGATCCGGTCTCATAGTACCTGCAACAATAATATTTTGCGGTACAATTTAGTAAGCTTGCGAATGGACTTCCTCAGTCCTTTTCCCGAATTTTTTATTTTTTATTTTTTTAATTTATTATCTAACAAAAATATTTAACCATTCATCTATTTCTTCGTGTTTTATTTAAAATTAAAAAAAAATTCCAACTGGAAGTTGAATAATTCAACAATAAATCAGCGTTTCGTTCAAAACTCGTATCTATTTGTGTTTTTGACGTATAATAATCAAATAAATTATAAAAAAGAGTAAGATAGATATTATGTAAAAAAAGAAAAAAAAATTACAAAGATAAGATTAAGTATTTTTAATTTTTAATGTATTCATAGTATAGGATTATGTTTTTGTATGTTTAATTTTTTTTCATTGAAAAATTTCGATACGTTAATAGAATTTATCGAGGACATAACTAATGTCCCGTTTCGATATAATTAATGCTTCTGTTTGGTGCTTAATTAAACAAACGAAATTTTTCAAAGAAGTAGATAAATATTATAGATAACGTTACTTCAAAAACTTCTTTTTTTTCTACTTTTTCTTCTTTTTTTTTTTTTAATCAAGCTACATATTAATAAAATTTCAGTTTTGATTCATTATCGAAATGCTAATTGGTTTCAATGATTAACGATTTCCTTTAATAAACAACGAAAGTTCTATTTTAACTCGCAACGTACACGTACACGTACACGTACACGTAAACGTACACGTACACGTACACGCATGTATATATGAAAGAAATCGATAGTTTAACGATTTCATCGCGAATGAAGTTTACACAGATGCCATGAACAGAACTTACAAACATTCAATGCAAACGTAATAATATTATTTTTATTCAACATGATACGATACTAAAAAAAGAAATATTGTGAAGTATATTTCTTCTTCGAATCTTATCAATTTCTAGTATTTAAAGTTTTTTTTTTTTTATATATATGTATAATGAAATAAAACACATGTGCAGTATTTCAACCAACCTGCCAAGGATCTTCGAAACACAGCCATTGCTGACCTGCAGGATCCTTGAGATATCGCAAGGACGTGCACCGGAATGTGCAAGTTCGACGATCTTTTGCCTCGTCGAATCCGGAAGTGGCCTACCACCGACGAAGACACCACCTAATTGGTTCACTCCACTGTGACCTTGAAAATAATCAATTTTCTTATTAGCACGAAAAGTTATTAATATATATTTAATATTTATTCAAATAAAATTTGTTTTTTCTTTTCGATCATATATTGAAATACGTTGTTAAATAAATTTTTTATTAAATTTCATGAAAAATATAACAAATTATGTATAAAAAAAAAAAAACACCCATACAAAAGAAAAAAAATCTTTCGTATTTCCATATGATTGAATCATATAGTCGTTTTTTTGTAAGTTAAATAGAAGTTAAATTGTTTAAATAGTATAATTCAATTTTATTGTTAAATTGAATTTTTATTGTTAATTGAATTAATCACATGTGCTAGATTTATATATATATATAAAGAAAAAGTATAAAAGAGAAACGTTAAATTTTATTATATACATATATATATATTAAATATATTTAATACAATATATTTAATACAATATATATTATATTAAAATATGTAGTATATATATATATATATATTTAATTATTATTATTATTTTTATTATATTTGTGATAATATAAAAATGATAGTCGTGGGAAGATAGAGATATTTTTATATACGAAACCATATTTGAAATTTCGAATAAAAGAAGAAAAAATAATTCACATCCCCCCCCCCACACACACACATGCACACACCATAGTCATCTTTTATTATCTAACCATCGAAGAATCTAACGCATGGTGGTTCTCCTCGTTCTTTGGTAAAAAAAAAAAGAAAAAAAAGAAATCAAGGCGTGGCAACTTGGCGAACGTTTCGTTCTGTGATGTTCGACTATAAGAGTTGTTCGTCTCTTTTTTTTTTTTTTGAGAACACAATGAAATCGAAAAGTTATCTTCTAGCTATGAAACTAGTACTATGAACGCGACCCCTCACTGGACTACGTCATCGTCCTTGAAAAAAGGATCTAGAAACGCGTGAAAAGTATCTTCACGAGGAAGAACGAAAGAGCTGAACGAAACTTTCTTTCTTTATTTCTTTTTTCTTCCTTTTTTTTTTTTCTACGTCGATCGGGGTCGAAGTTAGAAAGAAGATTAAAAAAAAATGGAACACACATGATCTACGAGTTAAATGAAAGTTTTTCTTAGCAAAGTCACTATCTTTGTTAGATGTTACAAGCGTGTTTTACTATTGCGTGAATGTGATTCGATTAAATTTAATTACAATTGCTTCTATCACTTGGAAACACATACGCTAATTACTTTTTTAATTAAATCAAAAAGAAAACGAATGAATTAAAAATGATAAGAAAACGCATTTAATGTTTCCTTCAATGTTTTATGATAAAAAAAAAATTACAAAATATAATCACTTAAAAAAAAAAACATAAAATTACAAAAATAAAACTCTGGTCGAAACTATAAAATGTATATAAAAAAAATATTATAAATAAAACTCTAATCAAAACTATAAAATATATATAAAATATCATGTGTGCAGATTATATGTGTTGGAAGTTTAACCTTCAAAAAACTAAGTTTCGAGAGAATGAAACGAACGAGCCTCGTGAAAAGGCTTCGTGAACAAGCCTCGTAAAAAGAGCCTCGTAGCCTAGTAGTACTAGTACTACTTAGTGTACTAGTATACTAAGTATAGTAAGTACTATTATTACTTAGTACTAGTATACTAGTACTTATACTAGTTAATAGTACTTATACTAACAAGCACTAATAGTACTACTTAGTATACTAGTATTATTAGTACTTAGTATACTAGTTAAATTAAAAATAATTACAATAATCAAAGGTAGGCCTATCTCTATATTAAATACTAGAAGTCACATATCCACACACACATGCATATATAAATAAATAAAAAGAAAGAAAAAGAAAATTATATATATATCTATATATCTATCTATATATATATGTGAAACGATAAAACGAGGGTTCCAACAAAATGTGGGGCTCCATTTAACGCGAAGGACGCGTTTGCGAATCGACGATTCCCAAAAACTTCCCGTCGAGGCTAATTCGACGTGTCGCCGGGGTGGCAGTCAGTGAAATGAAAGAGAGACAAAAAGAGAGAAATAGAGAGAAATAGAGAGAGAAAAAGATAGAAATAGAGATAGAGATAGATAGATAGAAAGAGAGAAAGAGAAAGAAAGAGAGAGGGAGAGGAATCATATAAGGGAGATTTACGAGCGTACGCCATCAACGAGAAAGGGAAGAGAGGAGAGGAGAGGAAAGGAGAGGAAAGGAGAGGAGAGAAGAGTACGAAGAGACTCACGGTCGATTGACTTTCGAAAATGGGCCTCGATAGTAGGTATATAGTACGTTCGCGATAGTTTGCGATTTCTCGCGTGTTTCAACCTTCGACAATCATAAAAAGCCCTTTTTAAACTCCCCAAACCCCCTCCCCCCCACTACCACCACCTCCTCCTATTCCCCGAATTTCCTATCCGCGTTCTTTCTTTTCCAATCTTTAATCTTCCGTACTTCTGTTATTTTCGTGAATTACAGAAAAATTTTATTTGAAATTTCAAAAATTAATTCAATTTTTTGTTGACAATAAAAATAAATATTAAGTTGTCCTAAAAATTCGTGCCGATCTTGACGGAAGATTGAAATGCAATGTATTTAAGTTTTATTTTTTGGTATATATTTATTAAATTATATATAAGTGTCATTCTCGGTTTTACAACCTTTCTTCATCTTAAAGGGTAACTTACAAATTTTCTCCTTTCAAAACTTCTCAGGTTTTTCAGTAAAAAAACTTTATGATACCTGTCGAAAATCAGCATGAACTTTCCGAACAACCCAATAGTTTGTTCGAAGGAAAGATAAAAGGGAACATAAGGTGTTATTTAATAAAATAAAGTTAAAGAATAATTCCTTGACATTAGAATTATCTCATTTGTAGTTATAATTTATAAATAGGCAGAGGGGGGGCAAAATGTTTTGAAAAGGGGAGTTGAGTAGGATAAAAAGTAAAAGAATAAATGTACTACTAGATGGGTATCAAAAAGAGAGAGAGAGAGAGAGAGAGAGAGAGAATGAGGGTAAATTGTAACACTTTGAATGGTTCGTTCATAACGAGCGATAATAACACATGTAAATAACTCAGTCGTAGTTTAAAACGCTAGTTCTTGGTTCCCATTGTCGTATTTAAGGCCTAGGGGGAATGATAGTTGTTTGGTGTAGTATGGTGTTCGTGTGAACAACAACGCGATACTAAATATCATAGAAAGAGAAAGATATATATACATATAAGTGTTTAAGGTATGTGTTTGCGTGCGTGCGCGCGCACGCGACAAATATGAAAAGGGGTTGTACCTTGAAGTCAGCCCAAGTGGAATACTACGCGGGTATTACCGGCGCGAAGGGGTGCTCGCTCGAGTGGCCATTCTGCGAACCTCGTGTTTTGATATTGTAACGTTTGTATTAAATATCAGTTGAAAGAGGGTGACCACCCCTTTTTACTCTTATACTATATCTCGACTTTAATTCTCTCGTTTATTAGGACTTCATTAAAAGTACCATCTCATGCCCTACCACTTGTCATTTAATGTATTTTATTATTATTATTATTATTATTATTATTATTATTATTATTATTATTATTATTATTATTATTATTATTATTATTGTTATTATTATTATTTTGTCTTAAAAGGGTTAACGAATTTATATTACATTTTGGATTAAATTAATTTAAATAATATCTCTATTCGAGTAGAGATACAATTAATATTTGTTATATTTTATTATTTTTGAGAGCGTTAAAATATAATAAATGTAAATTTGTATAAAATTATTTCGTTAGTTAAATAAATATATAAATATATGAATATATAAATATATGAATATATAAATATATAAATAAATAAATAAATATATATATATATATATTAATATAATTTAAATAAATAAATATTGATGAAATAATAATATAGAATGAACGAATAATGAAAAAATAAATATAACGTTATAAGTATGAACGTTCTAATCAATTAACCGTTTTAAATGACTTATAGATTATACTAGTAGAAGATAAAATATAAAAGGTGTATAAATAGAGTCCTGACTTTCGTATTTTCTTCCATTATCACGTTAAGAATAATCTCTCGAAGACTTCCTCCAATGTTAAAGAACACACGGAGCTAGTCGATGCTTGAAAAACAAGAAGAATAAAAAAAAGCAAGAGAGGAAAAGAAGTAAAAAAAAAAAAAAAGAAAAAAGGAAAAGAAAAGAAAAGAAATGAAGGAAAAAAAGGGGGAAGCTCGTTTACAAACGAGCGACAGAACCTCGCTGACGTGGTAACTGAGACGGCACATTCATCATCCGAACGCTTGTTCTCTCTTTCTCTGTCACGTTACTTCTTCCTTTTTCTTATTGTTCTTCGAGGTGGTCCCACTTTCGTCGAAGTAAGATAATCAATTACGACGCGTGCGAACTCTGGTGATAGAAAGGGGTGGGGTAGGAGGGTGTTGGTGGGTGAGGGATCATCATCGAAGAACAATTTTCCCACTACTTTTAACATTTTCCACGCCTCTATTAATCTTTTTATTATTTATTTATTTATTTCCTATTCAAATATTTCAAAATTTAAACAACACGTATAAAATATTGGGCTGCCAAAAAAGTAATTTCGGCTTGCACCAATAGAAAGCGTTATTGTTTGTTTCGTTATTCTTTTGTTAATGTTAGAATTTTTTTCTTTTGAGGGGTTTGTTAGTTGACACTTTTTGGTTGCTATAGAAACACAAATTTCGTGTAATTGTAAATAAACGTATATAAACGTAAAAATAACCAATTGAGTTTTATTTCACATTAGAAAATTGAAATTACTTTTTTGCCAACCCAATATTTCTAATATTAATAAAATTGTGTTCAAGTAATTTTTACCCTAATTGATAATAAATTATTTTATAATAAGTAACAATGTTTCGTGACCATGAACAATTAAAAATAATAATAATAATCATATACTTTMAAAGAAACAAAGGATAATTAAGATTTTCCTTTTTTAATGTACCCATTCCAATTTTCAACTCCTCC